AGGGCCCGGCCCCGCCAGGTCCCGGTGCCGCCGTGGGCGGGCGTCAGGTGGGGACCCCTGTGCGACTTTCCCCAGTCCTTCACTTACTTCTTACGAGCTTGCACCTTCCCGAGCTCACCCGATACCTCCGTTACCGTCAAGCGCTGCTGCCTGCCCTCTGCCGATGGCAGCTCCGCCTTGACAATTATCAAAAGCCTGTGTTGTCTCTGAACTTGAAATGGTGCTGAACTGGTACTGGTCTTAACGAAGGACTCTCTGTTTGGTCTGTGATAGACGAAAGGGTAGTTCAGTTGCAGTAAAAATAAACATAGTCTTTTCACCTGTAAGTTTCTTGGGCATGGTACTATTCCAGTTGTTTCTTGGGGCCTTTTTTCTGTTAATTCTGTGTGAAAGTGTAAGAACATGTAACAAGAAGAGGAATTTTTAGAAGAGGCAAAGTTGACATACTGAGAAACAGGAAGATGATAGAGCAGAGACATTCCAAGTAAGAACTGGTCAGTTAAAAAAGCTAAGCATACGTAAAAAAGCTAAGCCAACCATACGTTGACGGAGAAGCTGGGCTCCACTGTTGTGGAAGCACTGGATTTTGGAGGCCTACAAGCAATGGAACAACTACAGAGGACTGAGCTGCGAATGCCAGCTCCCATCGTGTATGTTCCCACAGTGGCCTGTGAACTTTTGTGTGAATATATATATTGTTATGATTTACTTTTAGGTTGTCTGTATAGTTAGTATGACTGTTTCACATGTTTAATAATAGATTATTAAAGCTATCTTTTGGAAACAATTCTGATTTCTTCTAATATTTTTCTTTTTAGAATATTGAATATATGTTTGGCATTGTTGGTATTCCAGTCACTGAAATCGCAATTGCAGCCCAGGCAGTTGGAATAAAGTATGTAGGAATGAGAAATGAACAAGCCGTAAGTATATATCTATAGTAGGACCAATTCTTTCTTTTAACTCTTTTACAACAGAATGAAACCTAACTTACCTTTTCTTACCAGGCAGAATGTGGTCTCTGAACTTTCCTTTAAAAAACCTGTAAAGAAGCGGTTACTGTCATTCCAGAATAAGGGAGAGCATTGGTAGATTGGGTGGGGTGTTTCTTTTTCCCCCATCCATTTTTAAGTGCTCCCTCCTTTTCTCATAAGGAAATTGCAACTTTTTTTTTCATTTTTAGATGCCTTTCTCCAATAAGGGAGAGAAGGTAGGATTGAAAATGGGCAGAAAAAGAATTTGAACAAAGCATTCTACTGCAGAAGGAGAAAAAATGATCAATTTTGTCTCCTTCAAGTAACATATTGTTGGATTTTATCTGCCACTTCTTGGGGAGGCTCATCCAGGTTTTTTGTTTTTCTGTAGCTTTCTATAGACTTTCCAAGATAACTTCTCCCTTAAGTTTTTCTACCGTCATTTTCTTTTGCTGATGTCCTCTCTTCCAAATTAGGACACTATTATCATTCTCTCTCTAATTGGTGGTATTTTAATTCCTTTTTTCGAGCTTTCTTAGCTACTTCTTTCCTTTTTGTTTAGAAGGATGTTTTACTTTGGAGTTATTATCTACAGGCCTAAAAAGGTAGATTTTTCCTTGTCTCTGTTCTGTTCTTGCGGTGCCCAAAGAAGAAAGTTTTCC